AAGCAGAATCTTTAGAGTGCACTGAGGTTGGTGAGGATGGTCTGTGAGAATTGATATGGAGAGAGGTTAGAAGGTTATGTCCAGAGTCCAAATCAGTTGCTTACAGTCGTTGACCCTGGTGAAGCACTAGTATGCTACAGGGAGAAATCCATCTAAAGCTCTCATTGTTATAATTCCGTTTGTAAATTATAGGCTTTAAGTCTCTTCTTCATTGGAGGGTTTCTGTTGAGAGATCTAAAAAAACTAGGTTCCTGTTGCCTTGGTAAAGGAGACCCTCTCCTCAGACCTTGATTTTTTAAAGAATTGCTTCCCTAGTACGAGAGTCAGGGAAGGTTGCAATGATATCTCTTAGAGACTCTGCATTGCATTTAGTTAAGAGGCCAGCTCTATATGCCCTATCTTTAATAGGGACTATGTCCTCTTCTAAATCCATGGTTCTTGCAAGCCAGGAAGTGAAAAAAGTTCTTAAATCCAGTTCTCCTTCCAATTTCTCTTGGAGTCCTCAGAATTTTAAATTCTTTTCTTTGAGTTTATTTTCCAAGAGCATTATTTTCTCCCTTGCCCACTCTTCTGAGGTTTGAAGGTGCCTGATGTTGTCCTGTGTTGCCATAGTGAGTTCAAACGCTGATTCCGAAGTCTAGGCAACTTGATTCAGGCTTTCCTTCGTGGAATCCAGTTGCTCTGTACTGGGAGTGGGTAAGGAAAGGATCCTTTTCCTGATGTTGTCTTCCAGTTTCAGGACTGTGTCAAAAAAACTCTTGGCCTGAGATTGTAAGGCTTCCCACCAGTGGCGTTGGAACTTCATCCGCCATCTTGTTCATGTTTTCCCATTCTTGGTTTATGTCAATCTTCTGCTCACCTGGCGGAAAATAGTCCTTGACCGACTCCAAAGAGGTTGCTGCCAGTTTGTTTTTATTTGGGCCCGAATGGTTCCTTCAAAGGATAATGTGAATAGATGCAGTGTAAGTCACGGTTTCAAGGGTGAGGGTTGGGAGTTAAATGCCTAGGCATCCACCATTAAACTCCATGTCACCACGCCCCCTGGAATCTTGACTTGCATCCCATTAACGTCAGTGGGGCTTTGTTCTGTATGAACAGAACAAAGCTTGAGTCCAGTGGCATCTTTAAGTAGGGTTTCCAGGTCCCGTCATTGCTCCAGCGGGGGGATTTGGGGGGCATTCTGGGGATGGCTGGGGATGCCCCCAAGCCCCGACCCCAAGAGCAGCCACCCACCTAGCTATCCCTCTCCCACCCCACCTGCCAGATTTAAAAGGATTCAGTCGATTGGCGGGGACCACATAGCCTGCTGATCATCTGGAGGGCCCTTTACATCTAGCAGGAGGGAGGGAGAGGGGTGGTTTTTTGTGAGCAGGGTGGGGGCTGCAGAGCATGGGGGTGGGGGAAATCAGCCCCATGCGCTGCGGCCCCCACCCGGCTTGCAAAAAGAACCCTTTAA